GGGCCGGATTGTGTATTAAAGAAAAGTTTCTTGCTAGTGTAAAAGTTTTGTCAATTACAAAAATGAATAGTTAAATTTGAAAATTAAAAAAATCAAGATTTTTGGCATACCGTAAAACCTGTAATAAAAGGGCCCCCTAATTTTTAACTTCAAGCCAATATATCTCGGTTTTTGTCCAAGATATTAAAGTTGTCGTTGGATAATTGAGCTTAAACTTGACAGTGTGGGGGCCCTTCTATTACAAGTTTTGCGGTATTTAAAAAAACTTTTTTCTCATCTACATTTTTGTTTTTATGTAATCTTTGAAACTCTCAAACTTTTGATAAAAATTTATCAAATTTTAAATTCCTGGCAGGGTCGGGATATCGTGGTTTCGAAGAATCAATTGAAACTTTCCGGGTGATTAATTATTTTTTAATTGGATCTATTTTTCAATTCCATACAATTAATTTTTAGAGAATCGATTTATAAGAAATTCAAAAAAAAAATTGTTGTGTCACATTACTGTACTTGATGGTCTCTGGAAAACTGAAACGACCTAAAAATATTTTCCGTGAAGTCTGATAGAAAAAAAAGAAAAAAAAAAGTTCCGTGAATTTTTTTAAAAATTCGAAAATTTTCGTATTTTCTATTTTCACAAGTCTTCTGTCTGAAAGAATGTCGTCAGTTTCTTGATCTTTTTCCGAAAATATCTAGATTCTTTCAATATTTCAGGTCTCTAAATACCGCAATTATTAAGCCGGACCCTATGGAAATGACTTTTTATTACGGGGATGACTACAATTTTCCAATTCATGCGAATTTAATGAAAATGGAGATGACACCAAAAAATCTGACGATTTCTCCGAATTCTCATCTCCAAGTTTCTCTGAAAAATTTGGCGAAAAAAAGACAGGAATTGGTTGTTCAGCTGAATTCATTTTTGTTTAAAATTCAAAGACCGAGAGCTTTTAAAGGGACAAAGTCTCAAATTTATTGTATTATGGAGCCAGGAGAAACGCTGAATTTTCGGATTGAAATGATGAAAGAAACGGTGGGGTTTTTATCTGAATCTAGAAAAAACTGAAAAATCTGAATTCTGAAAGTTCTGAAAATCATCTGAAAAAAGTGTAACGTGGAATAAACTCAACTTTTCGATTTTTACAAGTGTTTTTTTTATTTTTTGCGTGACATTTTTCTATTTTTCACGTGTTGAGTGGTTCTGAATTTCTGAATTTCTGAATTCGTGGTTTTCTGAATTGTTGAATCTCTGAATTCCATGAATTTCACATTTCCAGCGTCCCGGATTCCTCGAATCTGATGTCCTAGCCATGGCAAATACCGTAGGAATTTTCACAATTTTCCATCAAACGACCTCAAAAAAAGATGATTCTAATATGACATGGATTGGCACAGGCAGTCGGGATAGTCCCCATAACACTGATAAGGAATCCAGTGATCGAATTATCAAAATTTCCGTGAATGCGGGCTTTGAACACGGATTTTCTGAGCAACCATTGTTTTTGGAATCTGATTCAGAATTGACAAAACAGCGGAGACAACAATTCGATGTTATTCTGAAAAATGAGAAAATTCGAATCGAAAATGAAGAAAAGGAAAAAGAGAAAGCAGAGAAGGAGAAGAATGAAAAGAAAAAACGGTATAAATGTGTTGTGATGTGAAAGATTTCAAATAAATTGTTTTATTTCTTTTTCTTAATTTTGTGTTTTGCACGGTGAATAATTTGCGAACCGTAAAACCTCTAATAGAACGACACCCGGATCGTCCACTTTGAGCCTATATATCTCACTTCT